TGTTATAGTGGAAGTGCATGGGCGAGATATTGACTATGCGAGAACTTGCGACACATGAAAGCCAAGGGGTCATATTGACAATATGGTAAGTTTGTTTATTTAATGAAAAAGTGTGATTCAATATATTTTTAAAAATTATATTTATTAATATCATATGGGTTGTTAGGTGATGCTTGTTTGCAAGTAGTATAATGATGTATGACCAAATGAATGTCACTAGTGGCAGCATTCGACGTTTTTGTTTCAATCCTTTGTTTGCGGTATGTTTATTGTGCATTTAAAAAGTTAAGTTGCACATAGGTATATTATCATTGATTGTCATTTATTTTTGTGCCTTTTGATAGACACAAGTGATTGAACAAATGTATATTCGCAAAGGGAAAACATCGTCGTGGACAATGAAAGACTTATCACTTTTCTATCCGAATACAATTATTCCATTGCAACGGTTATTGAGTTGTGAACTTGTGAGTATTTATACTTTGCCTAAAATTTATATTTTTGTCAAGAGAAAATTCAATTAACCAGAGTTTTTTCTATTTCAGATTTTTGCTCCCACTGTACACAATGGTCATTGGTGGTGTTATGTGCTAAAATGTAAGGATGGAGAACTGTTTATATTAGATTCATTGGGCCATGATAATAGATCACGAAAACCAATTGATAGAGCTATGGTAAATATTTGTTTTAAGTTGTTTACGTAGGTAATATAGTTATTTCAGAGCTATGTTTATTTGGCGAATAATGTAATATTGTGAACAGTTGCAATGTTTTGAACATCTATTGTCGCTGTTGGAAACAAAGTCATCAAGGACCACTGGAGAACTTAAGGTTACAAAGGAGGACTTGCCAATTCAAACAAACATGTTAGTATGTTATTATAGTTGAAATTTTGTTTGCAAAATATTGTATGTAATGTGTGTAATAACTACATTCAATTGTGCAGGTATGATTGTGGATTGTTTGTTTTAAAATATATGGAGTTGTGGGATGGTGTGAGCAAAGTGAATGGGAAAAGCATGCCTCATTACACATTGGTAAACATTAAAGTCATTGTATTATTGTTTTGTTTTTTATTACTATGAATATAATTTATTATGACATTCTTCATATTGTACAGGAGCAAGTTCAGAAATTTCGAGAAGAATATGTATGCAGATGGGTACTTCATCCTCAAAATCTTCATCGACAAGTCATGGTTATTGAATCAGGAGTTAACATCCTCATCTAGGAATAGAAATGTAGATATTGTATTTGATTATTTGTTCATCTTCATTGATGAATGTTGTACAGTTTATTCATATGTAATATAACTGTTAAGTTGGTTATGGATCATTTAAATGTTAAATATTATGACATTAACAAGTGACTGATTTTTGGACCATGGTTACTATTTTTTGTATCATTTTTTATTTATTTTGACAATTACATTATTGATTGAGTTTTACCATCCTAGTTGCACAATATCCATATTCAGATGATGCAGACTATCTCCATGTAACAGAAAGTGTATATTGAGAACCACAGTTGTACAAAATACATGTAATTACTACCAGATTTATATGTTATGAACATATGAAGATTCTCCTCTATAGTATTAACTGTTAAAGGGCATGTTGGATTGGTTGATAAGGGTAGAACTATCCTCATACCACATACTTGGATGATATATGGAGCGTGGCCACCACCCACTCTCACTGCTCAAGTAAACATCATAGTAACATCAACAATCGGCCAAGTATAACTTAGTTCCACAAAACAAAATGGTCATTAATTTCCATTTGAATTTCTGATGGCAAGATGTTGATATGTAATATAAAAGAAGAAATACATATTAAAAGAACAAGGGAAGAGAACAATATAAACTAGCATATGGAAATTGTACAAGTGATAAGATTTATTGTAGGAAAGATGTATAGGTTTACGTATCATCTTTGTACATAACAGATAACTTCATGCTTAATAGTTGTAAAGAATGCGCTTAACAAAAAACAGATTGAAATTTGCATGTCACGTCTCATTCAAGTTCAGCCTTGGCCATAGACGAAATGTCCAATGCAGTTAGCCACATACTGTAACATGGATAACCACATATTTGAATCACTTGCCGCTCGACCGAGAATAACGTCGCTTGAGCGAGAAACAACCCGAGAGTCCCTATTTTTTGTAAGGGTACCTCTCTCAAGCGATGGATTTCTCGCTTGAGCGAGTGTTGGCCGTAGACAAAACGTCCAACGCAGGTAGCCACATAATATGACATGGGTCACCACATATTCGAATCACTTGTCACTCGAGCGATCATAACGTCGCTTGAGCGAGACAGAACCCGAGAATCCCCATTCTTTGAAGGTTTTGTCGCTTAAGCGATGGTTTCATCGCTTGAGCAAGTGTTGATCTACAAACGAAACGCCCAACACAGCTAACCACATAATATAACTTGGTTCACCTTATATAAGTGTCGCTCAAGCGATGATACTGTCGCTTGAGCGAGACAGAACCCGAGAGTCTCCATTGTTTGAAGGTATCTTCGCTCGAGCGATGAATTCCTCGCTTGAGTGACTGTTGACCTACACAGGAAACGTCCAACGCAGTTAGCCATATAATATAACTTGGTTGACCACATATAAGAATCACTTGTCGCTCAAGCGAGTACACCGTCGCTTGAGCGAGATAGAACCCGAGAGTCCCCCTTGTTTGAAGGCTTCGTCGCTCAAGCGATGACTTTGTCGCTTGAGCGAGTGTTGACCCAATGATGAAACGTCAAACGTAGTTAGCCAAATAATATAACTTGGTTCACCACATATTAGAATCACTTGTCGCTCAAGCGTTCATAACGTCGCTTGAGCGAGACAGAACCCGAGGGTCCCCATTGGTTAAGGTTCCATCGCTCAAGCGATGTCATCCTCGCTTGACCGACTATTGAACCACAGACGAAACGTCCTACGCAGTTAGCCATCTAATATAACTTGGTTCACCACATATAAGATTCAACTATCGCTCAAGCGATTACATAGTCGCTTGAGCGAAACTGAACCCGAGAGTCCCCATTGTTTTGAGGTTCCGTCGCTCAAGCGATGGATTCATCACTTGAGCGAGTACTGACCCACTATCGAAACGTCCAACGCAGTTAGCCATATAACTCGGTTTACCGTATATAAGAATCACTTGTCGCTCAAGCGATCATAACGTCGCTTGAGCGAGACAGAACCCGAGAATCCCCAATTTTTCCAGGTGTCCTCGCTCAAGCGATGTGTTTTTCGCTTGAACGACCTTAGATAGCGGTTAATAAGAGCCGCTTTTAAAAATATATATTAGATAGCGGTTAGCCATAAATTGCTATCTAACGTATGTTTATAATAGCGGTTTTTTTATAACCGCTCCCTTATATCATACTTTTAAAGAGCGGTTGACCCGTGGAACGCTATAATAAATGTAGTTTAGATAGCGGTTGGCCAAATAACCGCTATCTAAAGTCATATATGTCAAAGTGATCGACTATAATTGGATAATAATCGATCATAATTTTCGATAACCGATTATAATTGAGAATGATCGATTATAGTTGGAGAACATCGATCATAGTTTGTGCTAAGCGATTATAGTTTTACATAATTTCGCTCTGCATCTCTCTCGCCGGCGCACGCAAAAGAAACGTTCATTCTCTCCCGGCGTTCGTTCTCTCCCGGCTCTGGTTCGTCTATGTTTAATATTGAGTTCTGTTCATTTGGTTTAGGGTTTAATATGGTTGTTGATTTCGGTTTTGAATTTTAATTTTATGGTTCATCTTGTTTGATTTCGTTTTCATTGTAAAGAAGAAGCATACAGCAACCATCGAGGTTAATGTATTCTTTGCTTTCTAATTACTCGCAGATTCTCTGTTCTCTGTTTTCGTTCACTATTGACTATCTCAATAGTCGTAAACATAAACCATGGCTGGCAAAAGAAAAAGCTCCAAGCGCACCCACTCAGAAGCGACTTCTTCAAGTACCCAAACTGTGACCACGAAGGAGGTGATAGCCCCAAAGGTCCTTGACACCCAATACTTTGTTAATAACGAATTTGACTTCATTAGAGTTTTGAAGGATGTAGAGTTGAATGCCTTCTTGGAAATTAACAAAGCAATCTATCCACATCTTATTCGAGAATTCTACAGTAACTTAAGTCTCGAAGAAGAAGTTCTAACGTCAGAAGTGGCGGGGATTGAGATTCAAATAGACCAAACTCTGTGGAAAGAGCTGACAAGTCTACCTTGTGATGGTCTGATATTGATTGGTGAACGACCTAGTAAAGAGTGGGTTATGTCCACAAAATATGACAATGTGGAGGCGAAGGCATCTCTATTGGTAGATGATAGTCCCCTGAAAGGGACTACAGTTGGCTATTTACACACGGAATATCGTCTTCTCCACTACGCTCACGGTAACGGGTTTACTTCCTCGTTCTAGTAATCATGCATATACTGTTAGATAAAGATGTTTTTCCAATCTGGACAATGCTTAATGGTATAGCCATTAATTGGGGTTATTGTGTGATGAATCATATGGTTAAGGCAGCTAAAAGTAAAGGTGGTGGTCTCGCCTTATGGTATGTTTCTTACTAAAATATTTGAGCACTTTGATGTTCCCCTTAATGAACAAGAGAAGGAAGATCCACAAACATATAAAATGTTTGGCCGAGTCAATTTTATCTCGAGATGGGCATCAAGTCCAATATAGAAGTGTACTACGATGTTCGACAACTCGTTGGTGTCCTTCATCATGAAGAAGAGCTTCCTGAACATGAAGAAGAAGATTATGACTCCTCTGCTCCTCCTCACTTAAATGCACCACCATACATGGTTGCCTTTATGAATGAGATGCGTACTCGCATGGACCAACAAGACCAGTGGCTTGATGGTCTAGCTGCACAAATTGGTGAGATTTATAAGTTGCTAGTTGCACCTCAGAGCCAGCCAACTAATTTAGCAGGTACGGTTTGGCCCCCTCCATAAGAAACATAAGATGGATTGTAATGCAATAATGAAATTAACTGTTGGTGTTATAGATGCAGTGAACACCCCAAGACATTTGAAGAAAAAGCTTCTTGTTCTTGATGTAAATGGCTTGCTTGCGTGTATAACTCAGTCCCCGCCTAAGAATCTCAAGCCAGATAATTTCATTAGACATCAAGCAATATTGAAGAGGCCTTTTTATGTTGAGTTTCTAAAGTTCTGCTTCGTGCACTTTGAAGTTGGTATATGGACCTCAAGAAACCAGAAAAATACTGAGGAGGTCATTGAATATTTGATGCCAAATATGAAGAACAAGTTGCTTTTTTGCTGGGATGGTTCCTATTGTACTGCCACCCATTTCATGACCCTAGAAAATGAAAAAAAGCCAGTGGTTTTTAAGGATTTGAGAAAAATTTGGGAGCATTGTGATCCTAATCTTCCATGGGAGAAATGATACTACAATGAATCCAACACATTACTGTTGGATGATTCTCCTTACAAAGCATTACTTAATCCTCTGCACAACTTGGTCTTTCCATTTACATTTGATCCTTGCAATAAAAATGATAATGCACTAGCTATTGGAGGTGATCTGCGGGAATATCTACATGGATTGTCAAATGCTGAAAATGTTCCTAAGTATGTAGAGCAACATCCATTTGGGCAAATACCTATTAATCATACACATGTATCTTGGGAATTCTACCGCAAGATTATAGCTAGTATTGATAAAAATGTTGGTGGACAATTGGCATGATAAATGAGACAACAAATCATATAAGTAAGTATCATTATTTGCAAAAATTATTGATTTTATCTGTTTGTTTACATTACTACTGTAGACCCCAAATCTTGCCCGGCCTCCAAATAAAGACCAGAAAATCTCCTATTTTGAAGATGGACAAGCCTAACAAGCCATTAGGAGAGACTATTAGGCCCCATACTAGAATAGGAGGGAATTTCTGTACCAAAAAATAAGTTTTCTCGCTTCGAAGGGACGAGACCGCCTTCTGGACGACCCAGACCGCCGTTTCGCCTCGCGTAGCAAGCGAGACCGCCGTCTCGCCTAACGAGACGGCGGTCTCGTTTCCTACGAAGAACGAGACGACGTTCTCGTTCATCCATACGACGGTCTCGCCATTTCGACAGGTCGAGACGGCGGTCTCGTTGGACGAGATGGCGGTCTCGACCCTGTCAGACGAGACCGGCGGTCTCGCCATCTGACAGCGCGAAAAACTATAAATAGGGGCTCTCCCCCCCTCATTTCAACACACCACAGCTGCCTAGCTCTCCCTTCTCTCTAAAAACTTCTCTCTAGAATCCCTCCGACGCATTTCCGGAGTTTCTGAGTGCTTTTAAGAGTGATTTTCGGCGTTCGAGAGGTTTTCCGACGTCTTGTA